GTAATCTTCATATAAATAGTCCTTTTTTCCTATAGAGGGGTGGGAGGGGGTACAATTTTTCGTACAGTTTGTTTGACAAAGTTTGTCCAGACTTAGTACGCAGTGTTGTTATCACATGGTCCATTAAGATGGCCAACTAGCAGCCATTTACATTGTTCGGTATTTTTAATTGAACACATAAATGCATCATTTTTCACAGTAAATATTGTAAGATGAGGGAGCATTGACATTGACAATGTTTATATTTCAGATTCTGATACAGATGAGCCAATAACACATCCTGGCAAAAGAAAAAAGACAATTACAAATTCAGGTCAAGATAATCAAAAAAGTTTGCCTTGTCGTCAAGGGGATGCGTTAGGATCCAATATGGCTGCAGTCGTTGCCACACAGAGGTACAGTAGTATAGAAGTTGATAATCCCGCTCCAAAAACTAGTGACGAAGAAGATGTTGAACATACAGGTGAGAAATGAGTGAGCGTACTTGCTCTTTTAGTATCGCGTGTGTGCGTAAATTGCAGATATGTGTGTAAGGCAAACAGTTAAGCCGAAGGAATGTGATACATCCCCCAAAAAAGCTGTCAACAAACAAGTTGCCCCTCTGATTGGTCTGACTGTTAGATGTTAGTGTTGGGTAGCCAATCAGGCATGATGTTAGTGTTGGGTAGCCAATCAGGCACGATGTTAGTGTTGGGTAGCCAATCAGGCACGATGTTAGTGTTGGGTAGCCAATCAGGCACGGTGTTAGTGTTGGGTAGGCAATCAGGCACGATGTTAGTGTTGGGTAGCCAATCAGGCACGGTGTTAGTGTTGGGTAGCCAATCAGGCACGATGTTAGTGTTGGGTAGCCAATCAGGCACGATGTTAGTGTTGGGTAGCCAATCAGGCACGGTGTTAGTGTTGGGTAGCCAATCAGGCACGGTGTTAGTGTTGGGTAGCCAATCAGGCACGATGTTAGTGTTGGGTAGCCAATCAGGCACGATGTTAGTGTTGGGTAGCCAATCAGGCACGGTGTTAGTGTTGGGTAGCCAATCAGGCACGATGTTAGTGTTGGGTAGCCAATCAGGCACGGTGTTAGTGTTGGGTAGCCAATCAGGCACGGTGTTAGTGTTGGGTAGCCAATCAGGTACGGTGTTAGTGTTGGGTAGCCAATCAGGCACGGTGTTGTAGGTTAGTCTCGTATTAACTCTAAGTCAGTAATCCAGCATTTTAATTGGTTGTGTCGTTTCATTAGAGATGCACTCTTGATAAAGCAAGTATTGGACGTGTGCATATATTTTGTTGTGTCAACTCTCTAGTCCAAAAAAAGGGAAATACTTTATTAAGTATGTAAGAACATTATCAATCAATATTATTGAAATATTATACATGGCTTTTTTAACAAAAAATGTGTAAATCAAAATGTGTAAATCCAAACATAAAATTCAACTTGTGTGATTGATAGTGTTTTCCACGTGTATGCGTTTTATATCAATTGTGTTACTCTGAAAAACCCATTATTAGATTAGTTCTGAATGTAATACTTGAACAGATGTTATTAGTTATTCTTTCACAACACTGGGAAATAAATTAATGTAATTTGTTCTCTTGTAATGTACATGTACCTTTAGTGTTATTCAATAATCTCCCTTGAGGCCTAAATTTTGTTTCTCTACCACTATATATATGTTACACATAATGACACAACCATTATGTGAAAACATCCTTTCTACACAGATGTTGTGCAAACGAAAAGAAGATTCAAAACTCCAAAATTGAAATCTATTCGTAAAATATTCAAATGGAGAGCTCGGAAAGCCAAGTCACTAGGTGATGCTGAACTGGAAGCGGGTGTCGCGGGCAATTTATCCAAGTCTAGTGGTGAGTTGTCGCAACAGGAAGAAGACAGGTAAGAGTAGAGTTAGTGATTATGTCAATATTTTCATTTGCTTAATACTACGGTGTGAGTTTAAACTTTGCTATTTTTAGAATTGCACACTGAGATCATGTCTAGAGTGTATTAGGGTCTTATGATTTTATGTGAAATATTTGATGGTATACCATGAATATGTATGAATTTGGGGGTATACACAATACAATGATTTTCGGCATGTCTGAATGTTGGCGATCGGCAATCATTTCATGATGAATCCAAGATGCAGTCATGCATATTCAGACCATCAAATATATCATTTAATACAGCAAAAACAAAGACCTGCAAGTGCAGCTTTAAAGGCATTCTAATATGAGTCCAGAATTATTATAATATCAATTATAAAAGAGTTGTTATATTCCTTGTTATATCTGATTACAGATTTTAAGGGGGGGAATGTATTTCAGCAGAAAATGTTTACTAATTCTAAATATAGAATTTTTTTTTTTTTTTTTTGACAAAAGGTTAAAACCAGGATCGCCGTCAACCACTGGATTAAGTCTGTCACATGACAGTGTGTTCAACCCTGATCAACAAAAAATTCCCAGTCCAGCTTTCAAACCCGAGACGACAGTGTCCGTAGAAAACATTCCAGCAGGTTTTACTGTAAGTCTAAATTCAGTGACTTGATGTCTTTGAAAATCTCAAATAAAATGTTTACTACTACACAATGTTGCAATTTACCTGACTCACAAGATATGCAAAAAGTTAAAAAAGTGTTTTCTGATAACGAATATTCTGAAACTTTCCGTAATGATGTTTGTAAAGTCTTAGTTGATGTAAATTCTTTCGTGCTTTCATCAGAGTGAGCTTAGCGCAAAGCTTAGGTTGAGGGCAGGCTCTAGTTCCGAAGATGATGGCCTTGGACCAACTGCTGACGTTACCTTGACAACCAATGATGTACTGAGTGAAAAAAATGAACCCAGAATTGACAGTAAGAGAGACAGTGGAATTTTAAGCATGGATGATGAGGTAAGAAATTATAAACCAACATATATATTTTAATTTTCATTTCCATACTCAGTATTTTCTGACATTAGATTCATGGTCAAGTAATGTACATATTTCATTTGTTGTGGATCTATTCATTTGAATTAGGCTAAGCCAAGATACACTAACAATTATTCCATCTTTTGTGTTTTGAGGTATTACAAGCACATCTCCAATAGAAATGCACATAAAACAAAAATCTCATTAGTTGAGTACTGAATCACTGAAATATTACTTACATGTATTTTGACCATTGGAAACACTTTCGTAATTTACGTAAGCATATGCGCTAATAATTCATAGAGCAAATACAGTATTTAGATCTCAGATCAAGCTGTTCAATGTCAGCTTTATTTGCATATATTTCTGATGCTGGAATGGCTTGTACTAGACTGTATTTAATGTTCATCTTTTGTATGAAAAAAGTCAAGGCTACTCTAAGTGAGAATACTTTCCTGTATAATGCAGTTTGTTTGTATTAGACCTACTTTATGTTTCATATTCTTTTGTATTCCACATACTCTTTCCTGCAATCTCCATTCTGTGTATTTGTGTTGCCATGGATACTCTTTACTTGCATTTTGTCTCTATTAATTGATGTGAACGTCGATGGTTAGTGATGAGTAATTTTGATGTAGATAAAGTGCTGTAAATTTCTTCCAGTTTCTTTTTATGAAAGATTGCTTTGAAGTTTTGATGTAAAGTGAGAATATATGATCAAGAAATAAATCTTTTAAACTCCAATATGGCTACTGTAAATGTATTATTCACTGGGTTTTAATTTCGCTAAATCCGCTAAATTAATCTACATGAACATATAAAATAACACTAAAACTCATTGTTTCCTTGAAAAATTCGTGAAATTAAAACACGGTGAATATGCTCAAAACATCCAAAATTGTGAAATTAAATGTTTTTACAGTATTTTAACAATTTTAATTCAAAGTTGAAGTTAGTGAAACCTTTTCAGCTAAAGTGCCATCATTTTGATTGTTATTAGTCTATAATTGTACAATTATAAAAACAGTAACAAAAAACATGCCTGCAAACAATCTGATTAACATTAGATTTAAAAATGTTTTAAATTTTGTTACTTACTCGCTCACATATATCTGACCACTGTCCCTCAACACCGGGACGGTGATCTGACCAACTCCACTTGGAGTTTGTGTTTGTGTGATTGCTTCAGAGTAAATTACTTAATCAATCAGAGAACGTTTTACTTCTAGAATGTATTAGCATCATATTGTGTACATAGAGTGTGATACTTTTTTGAAACCAGCATTCTGATTGGAAGTTCTGAACTATGTGCGACTTCCACAATAAACCAGACTAACAAAGAAGCAGTAAAAGTGAAGTAAACAAAGAAAAAAGACTATTTATACTCGAAGCAACTGATCTTATTTTAATCAGATTGGCTTGCAATAAAATTACATTGTCTGTATAAGCAGTCAGAGATCTCAAACCATTGTATCATTGAGGTACA